CATGATTTTAGACCTCTGTCATATCCTCTCTTAGTCTCTCTCTTTCCAAAGCTGAACAGTCCCCGTCTTTTTAAACTCTCCTCATATGAGAGTGCCATGCCTGTAGTCATTTTCGTTGCCCTTCTCTGCACCTTCCCCAATTCTAACGTGCCTTTTGGGAGATGGGGCGAGCAGTATTCAAGGTGTGGGTGTACCATGGATTACGATACATTCAGTCTTGTCTCCCCCTTTCCTAATGGTTCCTAACATTCATTAGCTTTTTGGGCTGCCGCTGCGCTGATCTTTTCAGAGAATTCTCCACGATGACTCCCAGGATCTCGTTCTCGAAAGGTAAGAGCTAATTTAGACCCCATCCTTTTGTATAAATAGTTGGGTTTATGTTTTCCACTGCACATTACTGGACATTTACCAACATTGAATTTAATCTGCCATTTTGTTGCCATGTCACCCAGTTTTGTGCGAGTCATTTGTAACTCTTTCCAGTCAGTTCTGGACTTAACTATCTTTCTTGAGTAATTTTATCCCCTGTGCAAATTTTGCCACCTCACTGTTCGCCCCATTTTCCAGATCATTTATGAATACGTTGAACAGCACAGGTCCCAGTACAGATCCCTGGGGGCCCCCCCACTATTTACCTCTCTCCATTGTGAAAATAGACGGCTTATTCCTATCCTTTGTTTCTTATCTATTAATCGGTTACTGTTCTATACTATACACCTCTACCCCGATATAACGCGGTCATGGGGAACCAAAAATCCCTACCACGTTATAGCTGAAACCCCGTTATATCGGAGTAGAGACAGCAGGGCGCCGGCAGCGATTTAAAGAGCTCCGGGCTACGGCCGCTGCGGGGAGCCCGGGCCCTTTAAATCACCAGCAGAGCCCCGCTGCCGCAGCCCTGGAGTAGGAGTGGCAGGGCTCCGGCGGTGATTTAAAGGCCCTGGGCCCTTTAAATCGCTGGCAAGCCCCGCTGCTGCAGCCCCGGGATAGCAGCAGCAGGGCTCCAGTGGTGATTTACAGGGCCCGGGGCTCCCAGCAGCAGCTGGAGCCCCGGACCCTTTAAAGTGCCGCCGGAGCCCTGCTGCTACCGCGCTATACGTGAACTCGTGTTAGATCAGGTTGCGTTATAGCGGGGTAAAGGTGTAGTTTCAACCAATTTGCCTGGTACTGAAGTTAGGCTTACCGGCTTGTAATTGCCAGGATTGCCTCTGGAGCCTTTTTAAAAAACACGTTACCTGAGCTACCCTCCAGTCATCTGGTACAGAGGCTGATTTAAGTGATAGTAGTTCTGCAATTTAATATTTGAGTTTCTTCAAAACTCTTGGGTGAATCCCATCTAGCCCTGGTGACTTATTACTTTTTAATTTATCAGTTTGTTCCAAACCCTCCTCTACTGACACCTCAATCTGGGACAGTTCCTCAGATATGTCACCTAACAAGAATGGCTAGGATGTGGGGATCTCCCTCCTATCCTCTGCAGTGATGGCTGATGCAAAGAATTCATTTAGCTTCTCTGCAATGGCCTTGTCTTCCTTGACTGCTCCATTAGCACCTCGATCATCCAGTGGCCCCACTGACTATTTAGCAGGATTCCTGCTTTTGATGTACTCAAACAACTTTTTTGCTGTTATATTTTTGTCCTTAGCTAGTTAACTCTTCAAATTCTTTCTTGGCCTGCCTTATTATACTTTTACACTTGACTTGCCAGCGTTTATGCTCCTGTACGTCTGAAGAGCGTGATCACTGATGTGATTTTTGTACATTCTGACCAAAAAAAACTAATTAAAGGCTACGAATTGTTCCCAGTTTGGGGACAGTATTGCAATACTGCCTGCTAGCTCTGAGCTGGAACTGCGCAATAAACGCTGGCCACAGTCTCCTATCCCCCCGGGCTGTGACATCTCCTCAGAGCAACACACACTATTAAAAGGGAAATTGATGAGACACATGGACATCTATTCTCCCTCCAGTTTTATGCATTTCTCCATGTCATCTCTCTAGACACTAGCGACATCCATGTAGCCTAGCAAGGTCTGTTTGGCATTAAAAAGGCCTTTGATTTCCACATCACTGCTCCTTCTCAGCCAAGGGAATTGGGCCAACTATGGGGTCTGGAGTGGGAAGGGTTAATAATGGGACCACCAATTCTGCATGAAGCAGTTTTTATCATTGCAGGGCATCTCCAAAGTCCTGCACCACACTGCTGGGATACAAATGAAGAGCCCTTTGTCCCAGAAAGGAGGAGTCCACATTAATACAGGGAGAGGAAAAGGGGAGTTGCATTTAGTTCCCCTGAAGCCACACAGAGCAGGTCTATCAAAGGAACCCTCAGCACCCTGGCAGTCAGAGGGGCTTGGGGCCCAGACAGGAGGGAACGGCTTATACCACCTGTAACCTGTTTCAGGCTAAGAAAAACACACCCCCCCCTTCCAAATGCAGGGACTGGTCCAAGCCAGGAGTTCCCAATGCCTAAAACAGGGACAGCCAGCTGGCAGGCTGCAGGCATGTTCTGGGGAAGCCTACGCAGAATTCTAGGGATTCTAGGCAGAGAACTGGTGGTAAAACATTCCCCTGCTGAGCGGAGAACACATCTCCCTAGGGGAGTGGCCCACTGGTGCTTGGCTTGCCCTGACTAGTACACGCAGCGAGAGCGGAGCACTTTTCACGAGAGACGCGCAGAGAAGACAGACCCTAGGTGGGAACTGCTGAGTCCGATGAGAGAGTGAGTATGTTCCGTTGTAGGGATCCCCTCCCCTCTTTGACTGGGGAATTCTTTCAGCCATGAAAGAACAGAGGTTTCTCCTTCTCCAAGTGCAGAGAGAGGAGACATCAGAATGGAAAGCCTCTTGTACTCAGCCTGGCCTTTTGGTAAGAACTAGATCAGCCTGATGGCTGGCCGGACTATCAGGGAAACGGAGTCCACAAGCGAGAGGTCCAGTGGTGACTATTGTGATCCTGTGAAATATTCCCAGCTTGATTCCCCCCACCTCATCTAGTGACAATCCCCCAGCCACCTTCTGCACTCTTTTACCAACCAGCATTTGCCACCCCCCTCTAAGACGTGGCGAGGTTCTCCAGAGAGCAGAAGGAAACCCTGCATTCACTCGGAGGATGAACTGCAACATGGGACGTTACGATGATATCGGTGTTGGATACTTGTGTTTGGAAACGTCCATGCACGCTAGGAGCAGCCCTCTCCAGGGATAAGAGCATGGCCCTCGTTGCCGCGATAAGTTGGCGAACCTCTATCCAATTCACACAATGGAGCTATTGCATTTTCAAGACCCCTGTGTAGCTGACCCCTTTAAAAAGAGAACAATGAGCAAGGACCCTGCATGTTCATGAAGTTTAATCATATGGGCTGTAGAGCTCTCTCCCGACCTGCAGCGTCATTTGAAATACTGTCCCCGCGACTGGGGTGGGACTGAAAGGTTAATACAACACTCCAGTTAATTAGCTAGAAAGGACTGGGAATATTATCGGAGTGAGGTGACCCAGCGATAGCGTCAGGGCTGAGCGACGGAGTCTACCCTGCTCACCAGAAGAGCCCATAGGAGCCGGAGCGGTTGAAGAGGAGAGGTCACACAAGCACAGAGGGGCAGGGAATAGGGCAGACTGGTCATTGTTCATTTAACGTAAGATGATCATCAATACTGTAGCACTGATTGGACCACAGGAACAGACCAGCATCCCGTGCCCCATACTACCAATGCCAATAGTTATGTTAATGAACAAAGTCTAACAGTCTGCACCGCATCTCTAGAGCATCATGTGTAGGCCTGCGAGTAAGCAGATGAAGCTGTGGGTTTGCAACAATTATTTTCAGGAGTCAGGAGCGCGCAGCATTGCCTTCGCTAGAAACACCAAGAAGCTGCCCCATGTTCCGGAGCATCTGCTCCCCTATTCCAGAGTTACAACTGAATTCCAGAGGAAGGCAAGAGTAGCTCAGGAGTGCCGGGGCATCACTTAACAGCTGGCAGGTGCTTGGGCATGTAAGTCTGACTCGTTCCCTTGGGAGTCTCTCCCCTTGAGACATTTTAAATTAAAATCCAAGCTGATGTCTGAAGAGATAGCATCCCCTCCTCTTTATCGAATGGCCAGAGCCGGCATTTCTGCTCTCATTAGGGCTGTGTGTGTGTGAGAGACTCTCTCCTTCACGCTGGCAGTTCACACCAGAGAAGAGTTTAGTAAATCCTGCTGTTGGAGGCCAAAGGGCTGAGTGTAAGAAAGGGCCAGGTTCCCAGCTACAATTACATTCACCAGTAAAGCTCACACGAGGTCAAATTTTGCTATAACTCTCTCTCTCCTCTGTAACTGGTTTCCCTGTCACTGGGGAAGGAACAGAAGAAGGAGGGAAAATAAAATGTGTTTGTCTGGGAGCCCTGAGGGCCTGCAGCGCTGGAGGTACACAGCAGGTTGCTGGATTCTCATTTATCAACCTTAAAAGGGATGGAGTGATAAATGCATAACCGGCCCTTTAATATTTTATGCAGGTGTTAAAGCGACTCCGCTGTCACCTTCAATACATCACCAGCAGCTGATAAACCAGCTTTCGTCACTCCAGGCTGGGAATTTTTACAATTTCATTTCTCTACCCCCCACCACCCTTCAAATATAGCCATGTATTTCTTAATGTGTGCAAACAAGGAATTGATTCCTTCCCAAATGATCTCCCCTCTACCTGCTCCCAATCTCTCCCCCATGCGGCTACGTTTCCTGAATACTAAGTAAAGCAATTCTTCTGTATTTAAGATCAGTACAAAATGTTACCCTTATTTTCCCAGGTGTGGTAAGATCTGAAATCACTCCTGTGTGGTGCTGGCAAAACTTGAAGTTCCCACCCATCTTGAAAGGCAACACTGTGGATGTTTACGCAGCTTGAACCCCTCCCTCTGAAGAGAAGTGACTGACTCAACACTCTTTTTTAAAGCACAGCAGAACTGTCCTCTCTGCATCTCAGATGTGCCTCAAGTCAGGGCCCCCCGAAACGTCACCCGTACCTCGGAATCCCCCCTCCAGGAGGGTGGTGGCACGTATCCTTTTCTGCCCACACCACTCGTATTCCTCGAAGCGATTGCCATTCTCGTTCTCGATGTCCACGGAGTCATCCTCGGTCATGCACGAGCCTTCTCTCTGTGCCGGGCAGAGGGTGCAGAGAATAAGACACCCTAAATTCCCTTGGGGGTCAGGACTGCTCCCACTGGAGCTATATCAGGAGTGGGTAGCAGCATCTGCTTCCCCACAACGAGCCTGATCCTGAGAGTCAATGGGAGCTGAGAGTGCTCAGGACCTCTTAGGATCAAGAAAATGAGCAGCAGTGGTCCCATTTTATACAGGGATGCTTAAGCTTTAGTTCCCAGGACAATCCTGGCACGTGTCCAAATGCAACCTGTCTGGCACCATCCCAGCTTGTGAGCTGCTGCCCATGAACTGAAACCAGCAGTTCTCCTGGTCCAGGAGCATAGGGTGGCTCCCTCAGCAGGGCCAGAAGCGGAAGGATTTCTCAGGACACCTGGCTCAGGAAGGCTGGTCAGAAAACAGTTCTTTTAAAACACGCTTCACTTGGGACGTTCTTGCTGGGTGTTTGACTGGCAGAAACAGGAAACTACAGAAAGCCCAAAGCGCCCACTCTCCCGCTTGCAGCACGTCTGTGGAGTTTACCCCTCAGTCGCTGGGAAGGCTAACGAAGAGACAGGGCTTACAGTCCCATGGGAAGGTGGCAGAGGAGTTTTTAGAGACCCTAACTCCTGGTGTGCAATGCTCAAGTGGCATTTTTAACAAATCTATTTTAAAAGGGCAACATCAAACTGGCTGTTAAAGCAGAGAACAGAAAAGAAGAACTCTTGCTGTGCTAGGCAGGAATCTTAACACATTACACAAGGCTTCAGATGGCCAAAGACCTGCAGAGTTTGGTCTATTAAGCTGGAGTTCATTAACAGGGCTTGGGGGACATGAAAAAACAAAGCTTCTAGCATGAGGCAGGCAGGAACCTATATGGAGCAGTCTTCCAGGCACGAGGTGACTGCAGCTCCCAGCCAGCGCACCCTGTGCCCTGGCCTTTAACCCAGCAGGGTTGGTTTCTGTCCTAGGTGGGAAGGGCAACTGCAGAGAGAGTAGGGAGAAGGGAATGGCAGCAGAAGGTCCCACTGCGCCTCTACCTTTGCAAGGCATTGTTCCACATGTCTACTCATCTCCTCCTCGGATCCTGACAGAGGCCGGCTGCAGAGGGGACATACCTGCCCTTCGTCTTGCTTCCTCCGTTTCATTTTCCCAATCCGAGCTGCATGGAGAGACCGGGGAGAGAAGAAAAACACATCACCTTTATAACTGCCAGAGCGAGCCTCTCTCACCTGCCTGCTCCCCCAACAATAAACTCCTTAGCAGAGGCTGTGTGGACACAGGAACACGGATTCACTGACTTTAAGAAGACGATTGTGATCACTCAGCCTGACTTCCTGAATAGCAGAGAGCAGAGAATTTCCCCCCACACTTCCTGCATCAAGCCCATATCCAGGAGCTGAGCTAGAGTGTGCTTTTTAGAAAGACATCCAGACTTGATGGAACGACTATGTGATGGAGAATCCACCATGCCCCTAGTTCTTCCAGTGGCAATCACCCTGACTTATGTGAGAGAATTAAAGCACTGGAGGGTCACATCAGAAACCGGGTATACAGAAGTTGTGTGAGTAGCCTGCTACGTATAGATAACAGCATGGAAAACACAAGGGAGTGAGGGTGACGGGTAAAATAGACAATGCTGCACAGACAGATAAAACGGAGGAAAAAACAACAGGAGAATACCTAGGCTGAAGTAGTAAGCCACGTAGATAACAATATGAGTGAAGAAATGTGTGATCAAGACGTGCCAAGAAAATGTAACCCATTCAGGAAAGGGAGTGCTGTGTGACAATGGGGCACGTATATAGCACAGAATACATCAAATACGGATAAGGGTGATAAGTGATCAGTTAGGTAACATGAGGACGGCGTATATGTGATGGTAAGTATATGAAGCATAAAAGAGTATAAAAGAATGTGGACTGTTGAGCACAGATGGAGAAATGCAGGACCTCCACATGATTGGACCAGCATGCACCTGATGATGACAGCAACATTCTACCAGTGTCCCAAGATGGGGTAACTGATCACTGCCCTATCCTGCTCTGCTTTACTTATGCTTGATTGAGGTGGGGACAGTATCCCCCAAATTCTTTTAATAAAGCTTTAAAACTGATTAATTTAATAACTGGGTGTGGACTGTGCTTTTTGCCCAACAGTTACAAATTCACACCTTGTTTTCTAGCCTGGACTATCCGGTGATTGGACCTTGTTCTGATGGATCCAAGAGCCCTCTGCTATCAGAAATTTCCTCTTCATGTACGTACTTGCTCAGAACCCTGCAAGACTTGAGGTTTAGTTGCCTGAGGTGTCCTGCTTAAGTTATACAACAGTCACTTTCAACACCTCACGCTCCCATGCATGCCTGAATAGTCCCTTCCTAGAATGTCAGATACAGGTAGGCGCCACATATGCAGGGTAGGCAGGTTGGTTTTGGATGAAAGAAAGGTATTCTGCATCCCAGGATAGGGCTTTTAGTCTCCCTGGTTCTTAATCTGATTTGCATTTGTGTTATTTTTATTTCAAGTACATCCAAGCCACGTAGTGAAAAATTGGCAGCTGCGCTGTGCGCACAAGAGAGCAATCTGGGTAAAAGACACAGAGTCATGCTGATTAGGAAAAGCAGCCGAGAGAGCCTGTTACTTAATCCAATCTCTGGTTAATTTGAGCCATCGTTAAACGTGATCAAAACATCTGGAACCAAATCATTTGCATTAAAAAGAACTTCTGTCCTTTATTATGATGGCTTTAGGCAGGTATTACTGGATAACTCAATCACTGGCTGGAGAAAAGTCTCTGTTTAATTAACAAGGAAGGTCAAAATTCTGAACACAAGACAAGTAAGAGCCTAAGGAAAGCCCATGTGGTAATGAGAGATGACACCACTGAAAAGTTGTGCTAGTCAGAGATTGGTATTGACATTGTAAGCAATACCACGTGCTCCGAAAGCGGCGATGTTCAGGCCAGCGTCTGGATGGATAGCAATATCAAAGCGAGAAGGGGAAGGTGCTGCTGAACTAGCTAGGTGATGGACAACAAAGCAGGGAGACAACAGACCTAGAATTGTCACCCGTCCAGTGTATCCATCTCACAGAATGAGCTAAACTAAGATAGCCGCACTGGGGATGTAAGATTCCTGATCGTTCTAGTAGGGCTTTCTTGGTTTGCCTGGACAAACGTACCCCTATATCCGGGTGCCCGACTTACAGAGCTCTGGGCCAGAAATACTCACTGCACTCCATGCGTTAGGACAGAATCAAGAGTCCCTCAAACCTATTCCCTGGGAAAAACTTCTTCCCAAAGATACTCTCCTTGCTCCTGGCACTGCTAGAGGAGATTGTGCAAAGGCAGCTACTGCTCCTAGAGTACCATATAGCAGCCTGGAAACGACAATGGAAGGCCTCCAGGGACCAGATCCTGTTTACAACGAGGGTGTTCCCTAAGCTAATACACACTGGTTTCAGCAAACATCTAAAATCCATCCACCCCTGCCTGCTCCAGAATTCTATCCAGCTGCTACAGTGGGGTGTATCTCACGTTGGCTAAGGGTTATTGACAGGCTAACAACATGCCTGCCTCCCAATATAAGCTTCAGATGCCTCAACATTTCTGGGGGGAAGCGCTCCTCGAGTTTCAGCATCTGTTTTGTCTGCTCTAAACCAGATGTTTCACTCACTGTTATCACCTCCTTCCTCCCAAGGGAAACTAGTATTTTAAAGTCAGCTTTGCCCAGAGAAGTGACTCCAATAAGGCACCACAGGGCCTTATTTATGATCTCAATAAGTCCAGATCAAGTCTGCTCCATTCTTAAATAAAGCAGAGTTTTTTCTAACTGCCTGCTAAGCAAACTCCACCTGGGGACTGAGAGTCAAGCGGGGCACGCTCTAGCTCACACTTCATCACCCGTAAGAGCGATTTTTGCAATCCTGGTTAGGTTTTTTGGGATGATATTCCATGCAGATTAGAATCCAGCTGCCTCTCCCATAGCTCTGCAGAGGCAAAACAGTTAACAGAGATAGAAAGAAATAGCATGGACTTAGATAGTCAGAAGATGTGGCTACACATGCAGATTAGTTAAGGGAAAAGATAATCAGCAGTCATATATAAAGAAATCCACTCCAATGAGATCCCCAGATCTCAAAGCACCGTGTACATACTGGTGTCATTCCTCTGTCCCATCCACCTTCACTTTTTTAAAAACAGTAGGGAAACGGAGGCATGGAAGAGTTAAAAGCAGCCTTGCGAGTTTCCCCTTGCCCAATCACCCTAGGGAAACAAACCTGTTCGCTGGGCACGTTAAAAGTTATTAAATATCTTTTTTTTCCCCCATTACCACCATTATCCAACCCAGGCACTAACAATATACTTAACAGGCAGGCAGGCAGTTTGTGTGTCTGGGCTGGTAAATTAACCCAGCCTCGCAAAGCGGTCATGAGACAGTGACTTGGGGCAGGTGGAGTCAGCATCGAGATTGGGAATTGAATCCAGGTCTCTCCCAGCACCATGCTAGATCCAACAGACTGCACCCACCCCAGTCTGCCTCACTCCCTAGCAGAGACAAGCGCTCTTTTCCTTTACATTATAGTGCCAGGAGTGAAACAGCCACTGGAGGAAAGAGGTGTTGAAACCAAATTCCTCTGCCATTTCCGTTCTGTGGTCATTAGCAGCGGCATGGTGCTGTTGGAAGCGAACAGTGCCCCTGGTGAGGGTTGAGAGCAAAAGGGAATGCTGCATCCTAGAAAGCACATACCAGGCAGCATTTCCTATACACGCCACGGAGCTCAGCTATCACTTCCAATCAGCGCAGAAGGGCCAGAGCGGCCCCAAAGGCAGGGGGTGATTGTGGAGCTGTCCCGAAGGGGAACGGCTCAAAAGAACACGCAAGTGAGACCACAGTATTGTTAATTAGTGCTGATAGATGCGATCATTTCTAATTAGCTCACTAATCCCTCTCCCCTGTGCTCCTGTCGCAAGAGCAAAAAGGGGGGCCGGGGTTTTTTCCTGTCCTTAAGCCAGTAAGATAAAAGCACCGAAATCCTGCGGTAAGCAAAAGGAGAATGGAGGATTTCACTCGAGAGCCCCTGAGTGCTATCAAGAAGGTGTGTTCTAGACAAGAAGCGGCCTCATTTCAATCTCTGATTGAACAAACCCTCTCCAGTTATTATTCAAGACTTCTGCCAAGAAGTGAGGAGTTCACGAATTTTTATTAGTATTAATAATTATTATTAGGCCGTTAGAGGGCTTTTCAGCACCACGGTGGCCTCAATTTTAACTGATGTGCTTGATCAGTGTTACCCCAGACTATACCACACGTGCTCTCACCTGTGTGGCGCCAAATAACCGCTTGGTTTGCCCTTTCACGGCGGCCATAAGTGGCACCTCAGTACTGCCACTCTCGCAAGGGAGCCAACGGACACATCCAGGAGCAGAGACAAGGGCACGTCGTTCTCAGGTGGACTAGGATTGCCCAGCTGCTGGGCTGGGAGCCTTTCCCAAGACGACAATTCCTTCCCAGAAGTGAGAGCGCGTCAGCAGTTTGGGGGTTAGCAGGCCACAGCACACAGGCAAGCAAGTGGAATAGTGAAGGAACTGAAGCCTCAGCCCTCTGCTAGACAGGGGGCGAGGTCAGGCCTTTGGATCAGCACCCAGAGGCAACACAGGCAGGTGAAGTTGCTTTTCTCTTCTGCTACTGGTCGCCCTGGACTGGACAAGCTGAGATGCTGCTGCCAGTGTGGAAAGGAGAACCAAAGACCACTGCTTGCTAGTATCAGCTCTGGGCACAGATAAAGACATCTGGCAGAGTGCTGGATTCAAAACTGCTGTTGCTATTATTGCTCAGTTCATGCCCTCCCACGTGTACGGCGGACCCCCACCCACTTCAAGCTACTAGAGCATGCCCTACGGCACCTTTCAAAATTGCTTGCACCTTGGCTATCAATGGTAGTGAGGGATGCTGGGCAGGTGAATTGCCATCTTTCTGTAACAGGGTCTCCCAGATCAGTGGCTGCTCCCCTCCTGGCCTAAACATTCCTAGTCACTTCTGATCACATCTCCCACAAAGCATCTCAGCTGGAGGGTGAAGTGAGTGACCTGGTTTTACTTTTCACTACCACCTTTGTAAGATCCTCAGTATCAGAGAACCTCCTGTAACCAGCGGTGGGTGTGGAGATAGATATATATATATATATATCTATATGCCCAGCATATATATCACATCATCGATATATATTTATCACACCACATACATTAATAAGCATTAACTATACAATATCAATATAACATTATATTGTATATATATTTCTACCGGTTACATGGCCAGAAGTGGCCTATGTCTTTCTATAGCTTGTTCACTTATGCTAAATATCCCATAACACTTTGCAAAGCTGATGCCAGCTTTGGCATTAGAAAATAGAAAAGTTGTCAAAGGCAAAATACATTAACCTTCTGCGCCGATACAAGCTGGGGAGGGGCTTTCATAGACCACCACCTGGAATGCTAGTATCCAAAATAAAGATGAGGAAGATACAGAACAACAAGTTAAGGAACCCAGATGAACTGGTGGGTTGGATTTTAGTGATGCGTCAAGAGTTTTGTAACTTGTAGGATTATCCTATAAATACTACCAGCTGAAACGTGTAACTTTGGGAGCATACCTGCCTAAGGTGAATCTAACAATGCTGCATGAGATAGCTTCCCAGAAGCTGGTATTGTATTGAATCTTTCTTCCTGTACTCTACTATTATTGACTTTTAGCAATAAACCCGAGGATCCTGGTTATTTGGTTTCTTGTATATGTTCCATAACGAATCGAAGTGCAGTCCAGCAATTGAGTACAGAATTTATCAACAACCAGGGGAAGATCTAGCCTACCTGAGAAGCCAAAGTGACGAGCACTACATAAAACACTAAAATACAAAGTGCCAAAAAAGATCAATGGTACTTTGGCCAGTCTGGCGCTTCACTGAGTGCAGACCTAATTAGCGGCAGTTACTTAGGACACACTACTACAGCCCAAGCAAACGAAGTACAGATACTGTCTATATTCTCTCCTTTAGTTTCACCGGGCTGTCATTTTTTGCCCTAACTATGGAAGCAAGAACTGCTAATGGCAGCTTCAGTCCTGCAACAGACATTGTTCAGTGGCGTGCCATGCAGGTGCAGAAGACCATGCACACAAAGCCCAACTGGCTTCAACAGGCATCCATCAGCACAGAGTCAATAACAGGTTTTGGGTCAGTGTCAGCATTGGACTCAGCCAGACTCTCAGACTTACCTGGGAGAGGGAGCTGTAAACGAGACACCTTTTACAGCTATACTGAGGTTTTTACAAAGATCATAGAATCAGAGGGCTGGAAAGGTCCCCAAGAGGTCATCTAGCCGAGCCCCCGGAACTGAGGCAAGACCAAGTAAACCTAGACCAGTCCTGACAGGTGTCTGTCTAACCTTAAACACCTCAAATGATAGGGATTCCATAACCTCCTCTGGAAGCCTATATCTATCCTTATAACTAGGAAGGTTTTCCAAATATCTAATCTTAATCTCTCTTATTGCAGATAAAACCCATTATTTCTTGTCCTACCTTCATGTTCAATAGCAGTAAAAAAACAAAATCACATTTAAAATATGTTGGTGTATTAGCTGGCACCAGGGCTGGAACCACTTTGGTGAGACTCACAGAACCTTCTGGGGCCCAAAGCAGACATTGGGAAGAATGCTTGATCCAGGAGAACATGTACAGCAATGGTACTGGTAAAGCCAGCTCAAGAACAGGAGAGCGCAAGAGAATGGAGAGTTCTCTAGATGGTCAGAATTTAAACTGTTTGGGATCTTGTATACATTCTGAAGGATGCATAATCCCATCTCCAAAAAGTGCGCACAAGACCCTCCCGAACAACACAACACGAGTTTATCACAGGTGAAAGGTGCTGGACTAATGCACAAAACCAATTGGAAACTTTAGTACAGAATGTAGATTTCCACTTGGTGTCTCCCACATGAAGCATATTAAACTTGGGTTCCAGAACCTGTATCAGCTTCCATCCTGCTTGCAATTCAAAGGGTTTGACCTAGAGAACTAAACTTCTGGACTTTCAGGAGTTTTAGGTTAGGCCACAATCTATTATAACTGTAAACCCTATCATAATTTCATCAGGGATTAACTATGTTGCTACCAGGTCTATAGCTGCAGTCTAGGTTTACCCCTAGAAGCCATGTTTCTCTCTTGTTACTCTTCTTTGACAGCTGATATTGATAACAGACTGATTAAAGAGCAATAAGTCACCAGAACCGGATATGTATCTAAGAGTTCTGACGGGATGCAGGAATGAGATGTCTGAGCCATTAACAGAAATAAATGCTCATTAAAATCAGATACTATGCTGGAGGACAGCAAATCTTTTATTCCTCTCTGTAAGAGAAAGCCACTATAGATGATCCTGCAATTAGATCAGTGAGTCTTACCTCAGCACCAAGGTACAAACTGGTTGCAATAACAATTACAGATAATTTTAAAACATCTAGATGAATAGGGATAATAGGGACACATTAGTACGGTTTCTGCAAAGGAAACATCGGACTCTCTAATCTATTAGAATTCTTTGAAGTGTCAGCAAAATGATGGAGAAAGACTGAGCAACTCTAGAGGGAAAGATGATAGCAGGTGACATTCAGTGTTGACAAATGCAAGGTAACGCACAGCGGAAGGAATAAACTGAAATACTCATGTGCACAACTGGGTTCTAAGCTAACCAACTACTTGGAAAAAGGACCTAGGCATCACTGTAAACCTCTGCTCAATCCCCAGCAATGGTTAAAGCAAACAATATTAGGATGTATAAAAAATGACTAGGATGTACCAAAATTATAATACCATTATATAAATCAACAGGACACCCTCCCGTGGAATACTGTGTTCAGTTCTAGTCACCATGCCCCAAAAAGGATATAGCAGAAATAAAGGAGATTCAGAAAAAAAGTGACAAAAATGATCTACAAGTCTAACAACCCCGTTTTAAATGATCAGCCCAAGTTCATATAACCAGCCAGTAGCAGAGCCCACTAGAATTTAAGAGCTCCAGGTTCCTTATCCTATACTTAGATAATACTGCAGCCCTACCTTGGGGCAAAGTCCTGGCTCTACTGAAGTCAACAGCATAATTCTTGTTTTGTCAGTAGTCTTTTGCTAGAGATAATGTCATCATAACCACATAGCTTGGTTCAAAAATTTTGAGTATTTATAAGATGCAAAATTTAGGGGTGTTAAAATATCTCTCTTAGCAAAAATTTCCAATGCTTATTCTCAGTCCAAAGGTGATTTGTGTGGCAAGAAGGGTTGATGGAATTCCATCTGAGATTCCCATGCATGGGAAAGAAGCATTTTCCATCACTGAAGACTTATCAGATTTATTTTTTGTGCTGAATTTTTTTTTTAAATGTTCATGCTTCTTGCCCTGGATTCAGTTGACAATGAGAGCAAGTGCACAGGACTTTTTTTTTTTTTTTAAAAAGACTCTGGGTTTAGAAAAAAAGTTTTAAGAGTTTGAGATTTTGCTTAACACACTTTTCATTTCTTTAGCACAATGCTAAAGTCCAATACTCCAGATTATACATATACACTAGTACCCAAAATAGAGTTTCAGTTAGGATCTTCTGTTATTCTGTTTAAATCCTCTATTTGCTTAGAAGCAGCACAAGGAAATTCAATGCAAGAACTACATCAATGCAGCTTTGTGGGTGTATTTTTGAACCATCAAAAGTCAGGAAATTCCAAGTTAAAAATCTCCCAGGAACTGTAAATTGGCTACATCGTCTATATTTAAGCAAGTTTAATAGTAAACATCAATATAAAATTGGACATTCAAATATTACTATTGCTATGTGAATAGTAACTTTTGAATTTTCTGATCTTAGTGAGCTCAAAGTTTCACCATGAGGTTGTATTGAATTGGCTTTGGTTGAATTAAACAGAACAAAGAATGTTCTACTGACTTATTTTCATGCACTGAAATGGAAATTTCTGTCATTTAAAGAAAATAAATGATCGCAATATTTGATTTTTAAATGTAAAATGTTTTTCACTAAATAAAAATATTTATTATTTTCCAAAACACACTCAGAAGTACAATGAAACAGGTGGATCAACATCGCTAGGGGGTCGAAGGGAGGAAATCAGAGAATCTGTATAGACACCATAGACTCAAGTACACTGAAAATTGCTAGTATAAACGTTTATTGTTAAGGCCTTGACCCTGAAATGTGGACCATACAGCTACAGCGCCCATCTGCATTAATCATAACGCAAGACTGGGACCTAAGTGACATGTCATAGCTAAGATCCTAAACCTGGAAGATGTTCTATGCATGCAGACTATAGAAGAACTTGTAGGAGTGCTGCCTAAGTGATATACCCCAGTATTAAATGCTACTTTCAATTATTTACAAAACAAATACATAAAAATATCTAGAAATGACTTAGTGCTCAGCAAAAGTTAGATTACTGTTCATACCTGCATTTCTTCATTGTAAAAATGATAATGGAGTTAAAGGGATGAGAAATTATTCTGTATCCTCTGGTTTTTAGGGAGAGGGGTGGGAGGAAAGTAACAGGGCTGTAAAGCTGGCACAATTTGACTGAGGGAGATGATAGAAACACAGTTTTTAAACGGCAAGGTGAAAGGAACCAATTAATGCTTCAAAGTAACACCGAGGGAGAGAGAAAAGAAGGAAAGGTTGCAAGGCCCTGACTGTGCCAGTGACAGACACAGGTGCACCGTCCCCGCTGCACTCACCATTCAGCCTGGTCTGCCTGTTCGCTCTCACTCTCAGGAAGGTCTGCAAAGGGAACAAGAGCAGAGCAGTGTCAGGGCCCGGCTGGGGAGGAAGCTGGGCAGGGCCCCCATCCCGGGGCGACCCGCAGCCTTAGCCCACCTCAGTGGCCGGGGAGGGGGAAGGAGAGGGAAGGCCAAGGACAGCGCCCCCCCACCCGAACACCCACCGACCCACAGGGAGAAGGAAACCCCCTCTTTGGGTCACCCCCCCCCCCCATGTAAACACCCTGCTCGCTCCCCGCCTCCGCAGCCCCGATGTAAACAAACCCGCCTCCCCGCCCGCAGGCCCCGCACCCACCTCCTCCCGGCCCCCGCCGCAGGGCCCCCTCCTCCCGCTCTGCATAGCCGCAGGCGCCGCGGCCGGCACGCGGCGGGGCGGGGATCCGGGCCCCGGAGCGGAGCCCCCCGGGCGGCCGGGGGATGCCGGTGGATGCAGCGCGGCCCAGCCGGCGCCTCCGATCAGCTCCCAGCGGCCGCCGCCATGTTGGGCCCGGTCATGTGACCCGCCGCCGAGCGGGGTGAAAGTTCACGAGGAAGCGGGGAGGGGAGGAGGGGGTTCCCATAGCAACCGGCAGGCCGGCCAGTGGGGCCAGGGCCTGCTGCACCCCCCCTCCATTTCCCCAACTGGGGGTGCAGCCCCGGAGCGGGGCCCCCTCAGACTGGCTCCCCCCGCCAGCCCCCCGCCATCCAAAGTCCTGCCGGCCCCTCCCTGCCCAGATCAGGAGTTCAAACCAAAGCCGCGAAGCTGTCGGCAGACCCCCCCCCCCCC